CTCTCTTTTTTCTCCATATACTCTTCCCTCCTTGCATCACTTCTACTTTGTAAAAACTTTTGCATCATCATCATTCCACCAATCGCTCCTCTTCCCTCCTGCACCCACTTTCCTGTAACCACAAACTTCTGCTGAACACTCTAACACTACATTTTTAAACCTACCCATACCTCTTCGACCCCATTGCCTATGCTCTCATTAGCCCATCTATCCTCCAATAGCTGTTTATATCTTACTCTAACTGCCTCCTCTTTTAGTTTATAAACCTTCACCTCTCTCTTCCCTGATGACTTCTATTCTCTTGTATCCCATCTACCTTTTACTCTCAGTGTTGCTACAACTAGAAAGTGATCTGATATATCTGTGGCCCCTCTATAAACATGTACATCCTGAAGTCTACTCAACAGTCTTTTATCTACCAATACATAATCCAACAAACTACTGTCATTTCGCCCTACATCATATCTTGTATACTTATTTATCCTCTTTTTCTTAAAATATGTATTACCTATAACTAAACCCCTTTCTATTACAAAGTTCAATCAAAGGGATCCCATTATCCTTTACACCTGCATCCCAAACTTACCTACCACACCCTCTCTAAAGTTTCTCCTACTTTAGCATTCAGGTCCCCTACCACAATTACTCTCTCACTTGGTTCAAAGGCTCCTATACATTCACTTAACATCTCCCAAAATCTCTCTCTCTCCTCTGCATTCCTCTCTTCTCCAGGTGCATACACGCTTATTATGACCCACTTCTCGCATCCAACCTTTACTTTTAATCCACATAATTCTTGAATTTACACATTCATATTCTCTTTTCTCCTTCCATAACTGATCATTTAACATTACTGCTACCCCTTCCTTTTCTCTAACTCTCTCAGATACTCCAGATTTAATCCCATTTATTTCCCCCCACTGAAACTCTCCTACCCCCTTCAGCTTTGTTTCGCTAGGGCCAGGACATCCAACTTCTTTTCATTCATAACATCAGCAATCATCTGTTTCTTGTCATCCGCACTACATCCCCGCACATTTAAGCATCCCAGTTTTATAAAGTTTTTTTCTTCTCCTTTTTAGAAATGTCTACAGGAGAAGGGGTTACTAGCCCATTGCTCCCGGCATTTTAGTCGCCTCATACGACACGAATGGCTTACGGAGGAAAGATTCTTTTCCACTTCCCCATGGACAATAGAAGAAATAAAGAAGAACAAGAGCTATTTAGAAAAAGGAGAAAAACCTAGATGTGTGTATATATATATGCATGTGCGTGTCTGTGAAGTGTGACCAAAGTGTAAGTAGGAGTAGCAAGATATCCCTGTTATCTAGCGTGTTTATGAGACAGAAAAAGAAACCAGCAATCCTACCATCATGCAAAACAGTTACAGGTCTTTGTTTCACAGTCATCTGGCAGGACGGTAGTACTTCCCTGGGTGGTTGCTGTCTACCAACCTACTACTTTTGCATATCCTACCAAATTCATCCACCAATCTCTGTAACTTCTCTTCAGAATCTCCCAAGAGCACAGTGTCATCAGCAAAGAGCAACTGTGACAACTCCCGCTTTATTTGTGATTATCTTTTAACTCCACGCCTCTTGCCAAGACCCTCGCATTTACTTCTCTTACAACCCCATCTATAAATATATTAAACAACCACGGTGACATCACACGTCCTTGTCTAGGGCCTGCTTTTACTGGGAAATAATTTTCCTCTTTCCTACATACTCTAACTTGAGCCTCACTATCCTAGTAAAAACTCTTCACTGCTTTCAGTAACCTACCTCCTACACCATACACCTGCAACATCTGCCACATTGCCCCCCTATCCACCCTGTCATACGCCTTTGCCAAATCCATAAATGCCACAAAGACCTCTATAGCCTTATCTACTGTTCACATATGTGTTTCACTGTAAACACCTGGTCCACACACCTCCTACCTTTCCTAAAGCCTCCTTGTTCATCTGCTATATATATATATATATATATATATATATATATATATTATATATATATATATATATATATATATATATTTATATATGTATAAATAACCATGGACGAGTGGTATTGATGTATAACAACACTGCGCTAGCCAAGGATTCGAACCCATGTTGTACTGGCCTGCCTCATGGTAAGTGAGAACCACATGACGCATTAAACCACAGGACCACCCAACCCTACAAGAATGGCGCAGCCAGCACATCTAGCTTAAACTGGAATGGTTGCTTATCATGGAATGGTACCTCATAACAGATGCTTCGCTACATCTCTTCCCATTTCTTATTTTTTCACCTCTATTCGTATTTTTTTTAAATACACTTATTTGTGTTTCTGTTGGTACATTTGTATGTTGAGTCATTCATAAATTTTTGATTCCCGCTTCTTTATTCTCCAGGAGAATAATTGAATTTGTTATTAATAATATAAAAATCGTTCTCTATTTTTTAATGGTTAATATCATATATAATACATGTATTTGAGTTACTGCATACACAGTCTATAGAAAAACATTAGGTGCAATGTTTAGCTGTATTACTTTTACCTGGCTTATTAACCCTCTTGGGTTAATAACCCAAGTAAACTTGAACACACCAATACTCCTTTCTCTCTCCACAATTTCTCATGTCATGTTCTTACATATGTGTGGTTCTAGCTCAAGCCCCCTGACTTAAATGGAATAATGGATTCTTAGTCCATATAGGGGAATTTCGTAATGGGAAACCACTTTTATCTAATTTCTCGAGTCAACCCTCTTCCTCCCTTATAGAAACAATCTCTGGAATAAGATTATAATCCAATGTCTTATGGAAAAAATCACTTAGCTCAATTTCCCACAATTTTAATATTTGTCATTATTCCATAAAACTTTCATATACTTAATGCTTATTCACTGAAAACTACCATTGAAGAAATAAGTCTCTGCTGCCATCCTCCAGTTCCTGGGCTGCAGTTGTTCTCAATGTCATCTACTTACACATCCTATATTTCAGTCTCGAGTCTTCAGTGTTTCATTATGATCAACTTATTACACTGTTATCTTCCAACACTCTCGTCCATCTCTCTTTCTAGAAATACCTAACTGATGTTCATGGAAGGAATTAAATTTTAGAAATTAGCTTTATGCTCTTAAAGTATATTTTTTTAGGATGATGTATGAAATACTTCATGCAAATGATATGTTATCAAGATGACGTAAGCAAACATAATGCTTTCCGTAAGGAAAAAAAATGTTTGTATAAGCTTAGTATTTCAAGACTATGTTTTTCCAAGGTACTTTATGTATTGTAAAGTGTGTTCGATAGAATTTGTGGAGTGTGGATTGTTTTGAGATAGTATACATTCCCTGGAAAAGCATTAGGTTTCTCACTGGAATGTTAACACGGATAACGTTACATAGTGGAACTGTGTTTCAAATAGAGTAATGTATTTCATTGAAGTATATGTTGTTAGGTGTAGTTTCTCCAAAAGATAATATGTTTTAATGTAAGACGATTGAACGTAGCCCTTGGCCTGGTGGCTAAAGCTGTGAAGTGTCTGGGTTCCATTCCCAGCGAGGGTAGAAACATTGGGCGTGTTTCTTTACACCAGTTGTCTATGTTCACCCATCAGTAAAATGGGCACCTGGGAGTTAGTCGACTGGTGTGGGTCGCATCCTGCGACAAATCTGACCTAATTTGCCCGAAATGCTCTGCATAACAAGCGGCTTTCTATATAGTTGTAGGTCACTAATGTCAGCTAGACCTGTACCTTGTACTTGTAGTAAGTAAAGATATTATTATTATTATTATTATTATTATTATTATTATTATTATTATTATTAGTGTTTTTTAGACGTTTCACTGTAGTAAGGTAGCATGATTTCAATTTAAAAATTCAATAAGATTAACAATTCTTTGTGTACTTTTATAAGGCAACGTTATTTTGTTACGTCGTTGTAAGTGCAGTATACAGTTAACTCCACATTCTTTTCTTTCATTTGTGTTCCATCACAATTTATCGTCTACACTATTTTTAACAACAACATATTTTGATCACTAGTGTGTTTTCCTAAACGCAAGTTTAGGAAAGCTGTGTCGTAAGGTTTAGCTACTATAGCCAGACCTCATAGTTCATACCTCTCAGCTCTGGGACTCGTTTCGTTGCAAACCTTTAGACTTTTTGTCAGCTTTACATATTTTACCAGACGCGGATTTCATATTGGTGCTGTAATATTCCAAGATGTGCCTGACATCTGCCGTATTTAATGACTAAGACCAGTCTCATGAAACACTTGTCTTGTTTCTTGACAAACCTATCTAATCTAACCTATATAAGGTTGTGAATGCTTCCGTGTTGATGTTCCTGTCAGCTTCCCAATTTGCCAGTCTCGCGTTTGCTACAGCGGTTAATGGGTTGATAAGTGTCTCAGGTAAAATGTTCGGAACTATGCTCATCTTGAAGAACTTTCTGTTTCAGGCAGGTTTACAGTTTTTATCCCTTGAGCTTGTATACTGGACGTCTTTACCCTTCTCTGATTTTCATAAATTTGCATTTGCAAAGGCTAAATTCCAACAGACGCTTTTCAAACCAAGCATGCAGCTTGCTCTGATCCTTGTGTACTGGACACATTTGACTCGATTTTCCGTGTCATGTCAATTACACACACAATAGACAGTACTGGCTCAAGTACTGACACTTCGTAGAACCGCTCTCATAACACTAGCCATTTCGACACCTCCTCCCTTACAGTAACTCGTTGCTTCCTTCCCCTTAAGTATTCATTTTATCCACTCTAGTGTTTTTCACTTTGCTCCTCTAGCTTTAGTGCCAGTCTCTTGTGTGGTACTAAATCGAACACTTCTTGCAGTTCAAAAATAAACATTCCATCCACTCACCTGGCTGGTGTCGTAATGACCTGGTGAACGTGGCACTCACTTGGTGGATATGATATTCATATTGTGAGTATGGCACTGATCAGGGAAGTGTTGGATTCATGTCGTCGGTGTGGCACTCACCTGGTGGGTATGAAGACCAAGGAGTCCCTGCAGTTTGACTTGGTTCATGTAGGCACCCTTGGCATCTCTCACACTAATCCAAACGTGGGTAGTGAGTGGACGGGACGTGGGTGTAGGAGGCTTAACAGCGGTAGAAGAGGATGGTATCGGAGAGCTGGCAGTATTAAGAAAGTGGGCGTGGGCGTGATCGTTGGCATTACCATGGAGGCTGACAACCTCCACAGTGTGGTCGGTGTGGCCCACCAGTGTCAGTACCTGATGCAAGAGAGCTCCAAGACCACCACCGCCCTCCTGCAAGAAGAAACCTATCACTGAGGAGCATTTATTGCATTATATTTTATATGAAGCGCTAAACCAAGTGGGTCATTCAGCACAAGGACTGGTGTAGGCTTGATCCTCCGTCCGTTAGTCTTTCTGTTGGTGAGTACAATTATGAACATTGTTCTTCTTCAATTGTGTATTAGAAATAATTAGATGAGGGGTGAGATTTGTTATGCTTATTAAAGAGTTTTGATCAAAGAAATTAGAGATACCTTTCCTTACAGGGGACCAAACCTAATTACCTCCTATTGTTCAGGCGAGGAATGACCACTATGGATTTAGCGCTTATCTATGTATCAAATAATAACATTAAGCTCCCATTGCACTATATCAAACATGTCTCAGTAATATTTTATTGAAAACTGCACACAACAACAGCTTTGCACTGTGAATCATGTGAAAGGAAGATTTAATGAAATTGAAAGTGTAGTATGTCAAGGTATGTGTGATTACCGTGGGCGTCCAGCCCCTGGTGAAGTCTGCAGGCGTGGTGGGGGTGATGGTGATCGGAGTGGCGTGGGCGAGAGCTTCCGGGGGCAGGACACGCACCACCACAGTAACATTAGCTGTCACTCCTTGTTGTTTCCACACGCGGTCACTCACTGAGAAATGCAGGTGATACCTGTACAGTGGAGAGTGCAGATGAAGATGATAATGATGTTGGTGATTATGCTGATGATAATATAGGGACAAAACGATACCAAAATATTTGCTGATAACGACACACAATTTTCTCTCGATACTGATACTTTTCCTATATCTTTTTATTTTCAAAATTATAATAACAATGTTAAATATATAACTGAATGCTTATTGGGCATGTATATAAAATAACACAGGAGGTTAAATATTAAATAAGTTAATTTGTCTGAGATGACAATGCTATTATTCATTACTTGGCCTGTTAGGTTAGTTACTGCTTATCAAAAGCACTTATCGATAGTGTGCGTTTGTGTGTGTGTACTCACCTAATTGTGGTTGCAGGGATCGCTACTAGGTCCTCTCCCTCTCTGCTTCCTGAGCTTTGTCATACCTCTTCTTAAAACTATGTATGGTTCCTGCCTCCACTACTTCACTTGCTAGGCTATTCCACTTCCTGACGACTCTATGACTGAAGAAATACTTCCTAACGTCCCTGTGATTCGTCTGAGTCTTCAGCTTCCAACTGTGACCCTTTATTTCTGTGTCCCCTCTCTGGAACATCCTCTCTCTGTCCACCTTGTCTATTCCCCGCAGTATCCTGTATGTCGTTATCATGTCTCCCCTGACCCTTCTGTCCTCCAGTGTCGTCAGTCCGATTTCCCTTAACCTTTCCTCGTACGACATTCCCTTGAGCTCTGGGACTAGCCTTGTTGCAAACCTTTTTACTTTCTCTAACTTCTTGACGTGCTTGACCAGGTGTGGGTTCCAGACTGGTGCTGCATACTCCAGTATGGGCCTAACATACACAGTGTACAGTGTCTTGAACGATTCCTTATTAAGGTATCGGAACGCTATTCTCAGATTTGCCAGGCGCCCGTATGCTGCAGCAGTTATTTGGTTGATGTGTGCCTCCGGTGACGTGCTCGGTGTTATGGTCACCCCAAGATCTTTCTCCCTGAATGAGGTCTGTAGTCTTTGTCCACCGAGCCTATATTCTGTCTGCGGTCTTGTTTGCCACTCCCCAATCTTCATGACTTTGCATTTGGCAGGGTTGAATTCGAGAAGCCAGTTTCTGGACCACGTGTCCAGCCTGTCCAGGTCTCTTTGCAGTCATGCCTCATCCTCATCCGATTTAATTCTTCTCATCAGCTTCACATCATCTGCGAATAGGGACACTTCAGAGTCTATTCCTTCCGTCATGTCGCTCGCATATATCAAAAATAGCACTGGTCATAAAACTGACCCCTGTGGGACCCCGCTCCTCACAGGCGTTCACTGTGATACCTCTTCACGTACCATGACTCGTTGTTGCCTCCCTGTCAGGTATTCCCTGATCCATTGCAGTACCCTCCCTGTTATATGCGCCTGATCCTCCAGCTTCTGCACTAATCTCTTGTGAGGAACTGTGTCAAAGGCCTTCCTGCAGTCCAGGAAAATGCAATCAACCCACCCATCTCTTTCGTGTCTTACTTCTCTTACCTTGTCATAAAACTCCAGAAAGTTTGTGACACAGGATTTGCCTTCCATGAATCCATGCTGGTTTTCATGTATAATCTTGTTCTGTTCCAGGTGTTCCACCGCTCTTCTGATAATCTTCTCCATGACTTTGCATACTATACATGTCAGAGACACAGATCTGTAGTTTAGTGCCTCGTTTCTGTCTCCTTTCTTAAATATGGGGACTACATTTGCCGTCTTCCATATCTCAGGTAACTGCCCAGTTTCAAGGGATGTTGAAGATTGTGGTTAGGGGCACGCACAGCATCTCTGCTCCTTCTCTAAGGACCCACGGGGAGATGTTGTCCGGTCCCATCGTCTTTGAGGTATCAAGGTCACTTAGCAGCTCTGCACCTCCTCCTCGGTTGTTCGTATGTCATCCAACACTTGTTGGTATATTCCCTTTTGATGTTCCCTTCTGTGCTGTCTTCCCAGAGCCCTTCCTGTCTCTACTGTAAAAACTTCCTTAAATCTCCTGATTAGCTCCTCACATACCTCCTGATCATTTCTTGTGAGTTCTCCACCTTTTGTCCTCAGTCTGATCACCTGGTCTTTGACTGTTGTCTTCCTCCTGATGTGGCTATACAACATTTTCGGATCAGTCTTGACTTTCGATGCTATGTTATTTTCATACTGTCTCTGGGCCTCCCTCCTTACCTGTGCGTACTCGTTCCTGGCTCTGCGACTAATCTCCCTATTTTCATGTGTTCTCTGCCTTCTTTACTTTTTCCATTCTCTATTGCACTTAGTTTTTGCCTCCTTACACCGTCGGGTAAACCAGGGACTCGTTCTGGTCTTCCCATTGTTTCTGTTGCCCTTGGGAATAAACCTTTCTTCTGCCTCCTTGCATTTTGTTGTTACATATTCCATCATTTCATTTACTGGCTTTCCTGCCAGTTCTGTCCCACGGAACCTCCTGCAGGAAGTTCCTCAAACCTATGTAGTGTGTGTGTGTGTGTGTGGGGTGTGTTGTGTGTGTGTGTGTGTGTGTGTGTGTGTGTGTCTTGTTATGAGTCTAGCTTTTACTCAAATATTCTTAAATGTGACATAGATGAAAATATAAAGAAATCTGGGTATGTAATTCGGTCAGCTGTTGTTAAAGGCACTTGAGCAACAACGTTGGACAAGGTCACAAGATCGATACATTTCCATACCAATATGTCCTATGAATTTGTTGATGTATTTAATTAAAAATAATATAACAGCACATCGGGATAATAAAATAAAATAATTGTTGATGCCGGTTTAGGTAATTTGCAGTTTTAAATAAAGAAAATAAAAAAATGAAGAAAAAAGATAACTATCTTGCCTATTTTGAGTAACGTTGGTGGAAGCATAGATGAGACCGGTGACAGGACGTAAGGAGAAGAGCGGGTGAGGGGAACCAACCCACTGGAACATTTTGTCTGGCAGTCCCAGTCGTCAGGGGCGTCCACGTAGACTCTGCCAAGAGGAATCTCCGACCCTCCACCCTGAGAAACACCGTCAATAGTTAATACCAAAACTCGATAATCGTCCATCAGTGTCAAGACTAGTCAAAATGAAGCCCAAAGAATTATTCTTGGCTGTCCTAAAACTACCAAGGCTCTTAATATGTGGAAAGAGCTTGGGGTTCCTAGTTTCACTTATATGATAATTGAGATTAACACTGCATTGTTAAGAAATGAACCAGACACTATCATTTCTAATCTTACTAAATGTCTAATTGGAAATACACACATATATAAATGAGTTGTGCAAGTGTTCAATTATATTGTTTTATAACCTGCTCGACTGTATCATTGTAGGCAAAAAGGGCATTTTACCTCTTCGTGAAAGTACCTGCAAACTCCTTCTAAGAATCTTATCACTAGTAATCCATTCTTTAAATCACTTGCAAAGGCAGCTGCTCAAGAAGAAATTTCTCGGTTAACTGTTAGTAATAATTTATTACAAGTTATATACAATGATGGACCTAGGCAGGAGTCTACTGGCAGGGCTGTATCTGTTCTTGTTGCCATCTCTCTGGTTAAGAACGATAGGAACTACTTTGAATTACAGGCTAAGGAATTAATAAATGGACGTCTACACTGCAAACGGAACTGGTTGCCATCATAATGACACCGTAGTTAACGTATGACAGTGAGCTTGACTCTAAGATTATTACGGATTCTATACCATCACTGAAAGCTCTTGACTCACATAATGACTAACAACATGTTTATTGGAGAAGCCTGATATAGACTGTCAAAAATCCGGAAAAAGAAATTAATGTACTTCTGTTATGGATTCCATCAGACACTGGAATGCTCCTTCATGATCAAGTTGATAAGTTAGCCCAAAAAAATGCCCTGAAGGAAAATGTAGAATATAACTTTGATGTATCATCTGTGCCTAGTATTAAAAATAATATTAGAAGAGAGGAAAATATTGAAATGAATGTTAAAGAATGGAGTTGCAATAAAAGCCAGAGCTTGCTACCACCTGCAATTCACAAGACTCCCATTCCCACAAGCCCCCCTGGGGCGAGGAAGATGGCAGACCAGAGGCCTAGCTTCTCCT